CTTAATAGTGCTTTAGAGAAAATGTTCCGAGCTCTATCTTTAGATTTTTTTGTGTGTGTGTTTAGGACAATAAAAAGTGGGTACTTTTTATAATGCTCACATGTTTAGATAAAATCTGTGTCTATTGGACCTTCTCCACAAGGTTACATTGCTATCAGGTTAGCACACTGAGTATCTAGCACAGAGGTTAGCTTTCAGTGTTGTCTTAGGAAAGTCATAGCCTGCTGAACTGCTGTTTAGATGGCTCTAATGTGTATTTGTAGTTGCATGATACCATGTAGAGCAAATGTTTGTTGAACAAAGAGAAATGTGGTTTTCATCTCACACTATTAAACAAGTACTAATAATAGTTTACCATATATTTTTATAAACAAATCATTTCTATAGATGTTCAAAATATATCACATTTTAAATGTTTAAAACATTATATCGCAACATGTACTAGTAAGTCCCATTAAAGTCTTTTCTGGGACCGGAGATACAGCTCAGAAGAGCATTCACTGCTGTTCTAGAGGATGTGAGTTGGATTCCCAGCACCCACATCAGGTGGCTCACCACTGCCTATAACCCCAGCTTCTGAGGATCTGATGCCTCTCACCTCAGACACCTACAGACATTTCACATACTCGCTATACACACACACACACACACACACACACACACAATTTAAAAAATCTTTAAAAACCCTTTAGTGTATATATCTGAAGTTGTAATATATGGATATACCATCATCCCTTTAGTGTCTGTATCTGAAGCTATAATATATGGATATACCATCATCATCATTTTTGTTATCTTTGAACACTAAGGTTGTTGATTGCTGTGCCGTTTGCTGGCTTCTGTGAATAATGATAGATAGACTTAACTTTTTGCTTGCCACGAAGTCAGGGTAGCGATACACTTTTGTGTGATGTTTATCTAGGACCTAGGGTTTTGTTTGTAAACCGGTCTTAAAAATACCCCCGAGAGCTGATGGCATGACTCAGTGATAACTGCTTACCTTGCAAGTGTGAGGACCTGAGTTTGCAGCCCTAGTACCCACATAAGCAGCCTGGGTGCAGGTGCTTGTGATTGTTAATCCAGTGCTGGAGGCAGAGCTGTATAGCCTTTTGGAGCTTGCTAGCTGGCACGCTGAGCTGGTGAACTTTCAGTGAGAAACCCTTGCCCAAAAGTAAAAGTGGAGACCGCTGAGGAAGACACCATGCATGGTGGCTTCTGGTGCCCACAAGCACATCCTTATGTTACTTTTCTAGTGGCGTACGTATTAATTGAAAAAAAAAAAAACACTCAAATACTTTCTGATAGAAAATGGGTTGTCAAAAGAAAGCAGCATTTTACAAAGCTGTTGTTTTCAGGTAGGCTCGTGAGATTTAAGTCATTTGACAAATATTATTGAGTGCTTAATTATGTCATAGGTGCCATTTGAGCACTAGGGATATAAAATCAACAACAGCTTTGCTATTATTGGAAAATGGCAAGCAACAAATAACTTCAAAAAATTGCAATGAAAGGGCCAAAGAAGACTTTCTTCAGAGGTGATATTTGAGACTAGGGTAAAAGAAGACTTTGTTCAGAGGTGATATTTGAGACTAGGGTAAAAGAAGACTTTGTTCAGAGGTGATATTTGAGACTAGGGTAAGCTCCCTCCCCTGTTTCCCCTAACTGTTGCCTCTGCTGTTTCTGGGAAGAGCAGATGGAGTTGAAGGCAGAGGGAGTAGAGGTTACCACGCCTGTGTTAGCCCCTAGACACTGGGGGAAGAGATGTGGGCAGAAGGCATGGTTATAAGTAATTTGCATTCGTGTTATTCAAATCCCATAAAGTAGATGAGACCACCAAAGCTAAATACCCTCCAGACTCCTTCAGTGTTGAAATAGGAGCAGCAGGGCTGCGTCCCCGGCACCCGGCCGCCCGCATGGCTAGCTTATGCCCAGAAATAATTACACGGAAACTGTATTCTTTCAAACACTGCCTGGCCCGGATAGTTCCAGTTCCTTATGGCTAGCTCTTACATATTGTTCTAACCCATTTCTAATATTCTGTGTAGCCCACGAGCTGGCTTACCAGGGAGGATCTTAACCTGCGTCTGTCTGGAGCGGGAGAACCATGGCGACTCCTCACACAGCTTCTTTTTCCCAGCATTCTCCTCTGTCTACTCCGCCTACCTAATTTTCTATCCAATAAAATGGGCCAAGGCAGTTTCTTTATTAATAAGAAATCACTCCCACATCATTTCCCCTTTTTCTGTTTAAACAAAAAAGAAAGGCTTTAACTTTAACATAGTAAAATTACATATAACAAAACAGTTATCAAGTAAGAATTACAGTTACAATATTTATATCTATTTTATCTCTTATCATAACTAAGGAAAACTATAACTATTTATTCTTCAACTCCATCAAAGACTCCAGAAGGATATAATATTATCTAAGTAAACAAGAAATAAGAAAACTCTAGAAATGACAGAGACATCTCGCTGCCTGGACAGTCACCCAAAGTTCCTCTGTACCGTTGGGGCATCCATCTTCGGCCTACAGGCCCATGGTATCCAGATACATTTCCATGAAGCAGGAAATTTCAAAGACAGTTCAGTCATTTTCTGCTGTGTCCTGCAGAATGTCTCGCAGACTCTTTCATGAATCAGGAACCCCGAAAGACCATCTCACCTTTAGGCAAGTTCAGCAGTCCTCTCTCTGAGGGTTCTCTGTGTCCAGTTTATGCAACAGTCCAGGCAAGAGCAGTTTCTTGCCCAAATGACTATCCAACTCCATAAGGATCCTCTTCGATGCCCATCTTCCTCTTGAAGTAGCTGGTGCTGCCAGGAGCAGACGTGTCTCCTTGTCATGAAAAGTCCTAAGTTATTAAAATATTTTAAATGCCATATTCTGCAGTCTTTGAAAGATATGAAGAATGCCTATCTAACTGAAATATATCTCTATATATCTAGAAAATCTAATTAACATGACTACAAGCTTAACTATTAGCGATGATTATCCATTAACAACCTATATTTCCTAATTATACATTACATTTTTAAATGAACTACACAATCACAATACCTTAATCAAGATCAAAAATACATATACATATAACAAAATTGACCTTAAAATCCATACCAATGCAAATTATTCATATCTATATCATATCCCCCTTTAAATGTAAAAGAACATTTATAAACAATATTTGGGAACATGGGCGTAGTTTTTTCTCTCCAAACTGCTTCCTGCTGAATAGGGGCGTCGTTAATTAGGTTGTTCATGATATAACCTGTATGCTAGTTTCATCTCAGTTGGCAATTGAGCGAAGCAATTTTTTGAGGGTGTTCACAGCAACCTTTCAGGAGGGCGTGGTCTATCATACCAAATCGGAATAGATGCAATCCACAGGGTCTCATCCTCTGCAAAAACAAAAGAAGACCCTCTCCAAAGCATCATATCCTTAGACCCAAATTCTGAAATCATAATACCCTCATGAAATCCATTTTGGTTTAGCTTGGCAGCCCATATAATGAAATGTCTCTCTGTACTTAGCTCCTTCACAGTCAAAAATTTTAAAGAAAACACAATGTACATAATCCAGACTCTCTGTGAATTTTCCATTTTTACGTGGCTTATTTTTCTTTATTTCTCTTAATCTATAACTATCTGTACTTCTGTACTCTGTCTCTTTAAAGACTTTACCCTTTTTCTTTTTAAGACATTAACTTTATTCTTTATATTCTTTTTCTTCTCTTTCCCAAGCCTACGTACATTTATCCAACAGTGTCTGAATCTGTTTTATTGTGAATCTGTAACTTTTTTACTATCCAGGAGCACTTTGTTTTGCGCCTTTAAATCACTAAGCGCCTTTAAATCACTAAGGCTTGTGATAGCACAGTGCCTCACAGCCAGAGCGTGGGTGCCTGAGGCAGCAGAGACCTCTTGATAATGCTCAGCCTCTGGTGCAGAGGTTGAACTGACAGCCCTACTTCCTCCTCTACTTCCCAGATCGGTGTGGACTGGGAACTTTAGCATATATGATTTTAGGAGACCTTCAAGAGCCAGACTCCAGCCATTTATTACCTCCAGTCTATCAGCGCACACAAGACTCACCATGCCTGATAAGCCCCATAGACGCTAGAGTGGATAAATGTCGGGATTTTAAGTTTTCTTTCCTCTTTTTGTGAAATATATATTGAGCTCTGATACTGTGCTAGGGTGGATATAAATTGTCATTTCCGTTTTTCAAGAAGATAATCCTTTCATAAAGAAAGTATACATGGATCTAATATAGTTCCTTTTTCGGGAGGGGTGTAGAGTGTGTGTGTATGTGCGCGCGCACACACATATATGTACATGTATGTGCATGTTTGTTAAAGCCAGAGAGCAGCCTCGGGTGTCATTCCTCAGTCCTTTCTTTTGTTATTTTGAGATGAGGCCTCTCACTGACCTAGAACTCAATAAGCAGGCTAAGCAGCCGGCCAGTGAGGGGCAGCCCTCCGCCAAGCCTCCACCCCACCATCTGCCTGTGTTCACTCTGGTACCACGACTGACTTTTTCAAAAAGCATTTTAAAATGCAGGTTCTAAGAATCGGATTTCAGGTCCTTGTGTTTACAGATCCCCCCAGACCCAGTTAATTCCTGTTAGTGGTGCAGTGTTCACTTTATCATTTTACATCGCATCTTTCAAACCTGTCCTATTTATGAAATGCACACATGCACACACGCGTGCTGTAGAAAGGCATCTGAAAGGTGCTGACGGAATTTCTCTCCACCGATGGTACTGGAAAGCCGTTTTCCCGTTCATGCAGCTCACCTGGCACTTTTACATTTGAAAAGTTCATCTGGAAGCTGGGCAGTGGTGTACACTGCAATGGATAGTGAGTTCAAGTGTGGCCTGGGCTATATAGTAAGACCTTGTTTCAAATTCAAAAAATCTGTTCAAGTATGAGCAGAATTCCCTTCTAAACCCCTGCTTGTTGATGATGAGTCATGATCTCCTTCTTTGTCTTGCATTCATTCAGCTTTTGAGAGAATTGAAGCACCCCAACGTGATCGCATTGCAGAAGGTGTTCCTTTCTCACAGCGACAGGAAGGTGTGGCTGCTGTTTGACTACGCAGAACATGACCTTTGGGTAAGTTTAAACTTGCTCTGCCCAAAGGGTTGTTTTCTGTAGGTAAGGGGCATGTATGCAGGCAAAATGCCCTACTAATGCATGGGAAAGAAAGCTCGCTGTTCACTGCAGCTCAGAGCAGCTGAAGTAAATGTTGCTTTAAAAAGGCAGTATCTGTTAGACCCGGAAGTTTCCCTTGAGGAAGTTTGCTAGCATAAGAGACTGGTTCTCTGCAGGCAGTTAACGGCAGTCTGGTGACATACACAGTGAAAACTGGTTCCTTTTTGTGGAGTACACAGGGCTCAAGTTGATCCAGTGTATGCTTGTGAGTAGGTTTTAAATGAAAGTCGCTCTCTTACCCTATCTTGATATTTAAAACTGCGTCTACAAATAAAACTATGCACATAGTTTTTAGAATGCCTTATCAATACATAAAAGAACCAGAGCATTTAAAACATTTTGTCTCTAAAACTGCACCCCCAAAAATCCAAATGTGACAGTTAAATTATGGATAAATTTGTTTTAATATGTTATAGTGTGCCTTCTACATAAATGAGAAAATATAAGAATAGCTGGACAGGCTTACCAGGTCTGGAATGTCTTCTGAAGTCCATGCTGTCAGAGAGCTGTTGTGAGAGCTTCCACTGTTTCTCTTAAATTTTTCTTAATAAAAGTTACATTTTAGGGCTGGGTAGATGGCTCTGTAGGTAAAAAGTACCTGCTCCCAGATATAAAAACCTGAGCTTGATTCCTCCAAGATCCACACGGTGGAATGAGAGAACCCATTTCTATGAGTTGTTTCCCATGCACACGAGCACGCGCGCGCGCACACACACACACACACTACATTAATAAAATGTTTTTAAATGTTGTTTTGCTTATCATGATAATGCATACCTGTAATTCAATCCCTTGAGAGGTGGAAGCAGCAGAAGCAGGAGTTGAGGTTTTCTTGAGCACGAGTTTAACATTATCCCAGGCTTCCTAGGGCCCATCTCAAAATGCAAGCTTCTTCCCCATTTGTCATAACCCTCCGTTATTTCTACAAAGCTCACTTGATAATGATAAAGCTCACTTGGGTAGTTGCGTGGGCTGCTGCGGCTCAGCAGTTAGGGCCTGAGTGGGATCTGATGGAGGCACAGGTGGGAGTAGAGGAGGCTGTAGCATCTCCTCCCTTGCACTACAGAGCTTTTATAACCACATTTAACGCGTGATGTGAAAATGGCCTCTGTTTATTGACGCCTCAGCCGTTTGTCTCAGGTTTGAGATCAAACAATTATTATTTCAAGTTGTTAAAATTCTCCAGTTTCTTTCTTTCTGTAATATTAAATTGTAGGAACATACCACATTGTTTTGTGCCTAGAGAAGGTAGTACTTTCCCAGTAATTCAGATATATCCATTGTCAGTGATGTTATCCAATATACTAAGTACTGACTTTTTTTTTTTTTTTTTTTTTTTTTTATTTTTCGAGACAGGGTTTCTCTGTGGCTTTGGAGCCTGTCCTGAAACTAGCTCTGTAGACCAGGCTGGTCTCAAACTCACAGAGATCCGAGTGCTGGGATTAAAGGCGTGCGTCACCAACGCCCGGCTAAGTACTGACTTTTTATGTAGCAGCCAGGATTTACAGTTTGCCATTCTTTCTTCTCCCATTTGCACAGAATATTACCAGTACTGTTCTTAGGCATGTAAGTGTGAATTCTTTTTCCCTTTTGAGGCTATTTAGTGGAAATCTTAGTGTTTTCATGTGATCTGACCATTATAGATCCACATTAACATGGTCACATTCATCCCCAAAACCATTTTTTGGACAACCTTATTATTCAGAAATTTTTGTATCATTAATTAAAAAGTTCATTGTAAAATACAGAGCATTTTGATTTTGATTTTTTTTTACCTTTAGCAGAGATATGAGCGGACTATGTTATTACAGTATGTTTTATTTTCTAATTTTAGCATATTATTAAGTTTCACCGTGCATCAAAAGCAAATAAAAAGCCCATGCAGTTACCAAGATCTATGGTTAAGTCGCTGCTTTACCAGATTCTCGACGGTATCCATTACCTCCATGCAAACTGGGTGCTTCACAGAGACCTGGTAAGTCGCTCCTCTTCATACAGTTATAACATTAGCTAAGACAAATTTGTAAATACATGCCAAAGGAGGGATAAAAACTTACCTGTAACCTACAATCAAAAGACTGGAAGCTGATGGCCTGGTGGCTGCTGTCTGTAATTTCAGCACAGGAGAAGCTGGAGTAGGAGGATTACCATGAAGTCAAGGACAGCCTAGGCGGAGTGAGCCTGTCTCCTCTCTTCTTCCTCCTCTCCCCACCCCCACCCCCTCTTCTTTCTCTCCCTTTACCCTTTGCTGAGTACAGTAGTGTGCACCTGTAACCCATACTCAGCTGGGAGATTGTAAGTTTGCAGCCAGCCTGGGCTGCATAGCAATACCCTGTCTAAAATAGCAGAGAACCAACCAACCAAGATGATCTTTAAACATCTGATGTCTGTTATTCCATTAAATTAATCCGTAGCCATAAAGTGTCAATGTGATTTTTAAACAAATAGTAATGTATAATTTTACTATTCAGTTAACATGTAAAGCCAGTGCATTTCACTTCAGTTATTCTTTATATAAAAGTACTAATAATGAAGGTTGCCTTCTCATTTCTTTCTCCTTAAGACTTAAGCTGAGATCATGACATTACCTCTTGCAAAAATAATGTTATTACCAGCATTAATTAATAGTAAATAAATGACTATTTACTATTAAATAAATAGGTGGTGGTGGCGTACACCTTTAATCCCAGCACTTGGGAGGCAGAGGCAGGTGGATCTCTGAGTTTGAGGTCAGCCTGGGCTACAGAGCCAGTTCCAGGACAGGCTCCAAAGTTACACAGAAAAACCCTGTCTCCCAAAACCATAAGAAAATGAATAAATGCATTTAAAAACTAGAACATACTTATTAGACAAATTAGTCACAGTGCAAATGTTTGGTCCTATATTTTAATTCAGAATATATATAATAAACATTTATTAATCAAATTATATGCTAAGTACTCATTTCCTTTTCAGCTTAGATTCTTCATGTTTTATTTATTAAGAATATAAGTACATAGGATAGCTATATCCTCATAAGTTTACCCTTTAAGTGTTATCCTCCCCTTCTGTGATTTTATAATAATTTGTTTTTTTTTTTAAGTTTGCAAATTTTAGATCCAGAAATGATTAGGGTTAGTCTAGGTAGGTTCCAGCTTTATTAACTGAGGAGAATTATTTGCTACAGAAAAGATGGAATACATAAAGAGATGTAGTTGGTAACCTTTAGTACCTTGTTAGTCAGACCTGGAGTCTGCCTTGACCTCCTCTTATTGTGACATTGTAGTTGAATTGCAACCGAATAATAGTGACCTTGTGCTCACTATTCATTAATTTAGCATTTTAAAGGAATTTTAAGGCTCTTTAAATCTTCTAAATTTCCAGTTTTGAATTTACCATTAGTCATTATGTTTTAAAGTGGTTCATTTTGGTACTTGAGATTGCTTTGAAATCATACATAGATAGCATTTAGGTTTTATTTTTTTAAGGTTCTGATCACATTTAACCAATAGTGAGAATCTTGTTCAGGACTGAGTTAGTGTTTTTCTCATGTTTTACAAAGTTATTTGTTCTAAGTAGAAGAATTTATCAGTTTATTTGTGATACTGTGATCTGAATGCCTACTGGTTCTATTCAGTGTGACTGGGACTCAGTTTTTCCTGTTTAACTTTGCTCTCCTTTAGTTTCCTCTCTTCTGGTTTTGGCAGCAGCCTCTTCCTTGCAGAGAAACAGACCTACCCTTTAGACAGACTTTCTTTGTGGTTTACATCCAGAGTGTGACATTGTCATGTCTGATACCTTTTCTACTCATCTGATTTTATCCCCTGTGTCTCCTTCCTTGCTCAGGCCCTGATATATTAGATCTTTCTTTCATCACGATATCAGCTTCTGCATTTGTGTTCTTTTAGTCTTTCTCCTTCTAGTCCATCATAGACCTACTAGCCACTTATTAGCCTCTCAGGAACTTTGGAATACAATCTTAGAAAAAGTAAAGTTTAAGTTTCTTACTTGGTTTTCAGGATCTTGCTGGATATAGCTCTAATGACTTCAGATGTTTACTTTACACACCCCTCCATCCTGTCCCTTGCTGCATGCTTTTTAATATTGGTTATTCCTGTACTGCCCTAAGGTTTCTTGCCTTAATGGCTTGCATTTCCTTGAATTATTATACTTTGTCTCTATATACTTAAATGTACTGTTGTCTTTCAAGGCTCAGCACAGATACTAAAGCTTGGGGCTGGAGATTACTCAGCAGTTAAGCACTGGCTGTTCTTGTTAAGGACCTAGGTTTGCTTCCAAGCACTCACATGGCAACTCACAGCTGACTGTAACTGTAAATAGAGACCGTGCTTTATTTTCCTAGCCACCCAGACCAAAATAATCACACAGACACCATATCCATTACAACACTGTTTGACCAATGGCTCAGGCACATTCCTAACTAGCTCTTACATCTTAAATTAACCCATTTCTATTAGTCTATGTATCACTATGAGGCTATGGCTTACCAGTAAGGTTCTAGCATCTTTCTCCTTTAGCAGCTACGTGGTATCTGCCTGACTCCGCCTTCTTTCTTCCTCTATTCTGTTTGGATTTCCTGCTTTGCTATATTCTACCCTGCCATAGGCCAAAGCAGCTTCTTTATTAACTGATGGTAATAAAACATATTCACAGAATACAAAGGAGAATCCCACATCATACTAAATACTAAAGCTTGGTATTGGAGATGGCTCAGCAGTTAAGCACTGGCTGCTCTAGCCAAGGACCTAGGTTTGATTCCAAGCATCCATATGGCAGCCCACAGCTGACTATAACTTCAGTTCCCAGGGATCTGGGGCTATCTTCTGGCCTCTACAAGCACCAACCTGGTGCACAGACATTCATGCAGAAAAAAAGCACCAATACATAATAATAAATTTAAAAATTTAAAGCTTACTTTCATAATCTATCTCTACTTTGAAATGAAATAATCATTTCATTATTATCCATTCCTGTTATATATCATTTTTATTCTCTTATGGTATTTGTTAATATCTATAGATGTCTTAGATCAGCAGTTCTCAAACTATTGATCAAACAACCCTTTCATAGGGGTTGCTTAAGATCATTGGAAAACACAGGTACCTGCATTACGATTCATAATGGTAGCAAAATTACAGTTATGAAGTAGCAATGAAAATAATTTTATGGTTAAGGGTCATGACATGAGGAACTGTATTAAAGGGTCGCAGTGTTAGGAAGATTGAGAACCACTGCCTTAGATCATCTCCCAGATTAAAACTTTCTGAGAGTCAGGGTTTATGATCCTTGTTGTATACAATAAATGTTGTAGAAAGGCCAGAATATTGAATATTTCACTTTTGTTACTAAATACTTAGAACATTGTCTTCCATGAACATGCAATATTTTTATGTCTGTGTAAAACAAGGGGAAATAGGAATGATACAGCTATGACGGCATCAGAGACCCTCTCAAGAAGGTTAGAGTCTAAGAGAAGCAACATGGCATAAACACCAACACTTACAAGTTAGGGAGAATGAGATTGTAGGCCCTTCAGAGGGGAAGACTCACTGCTATTTTTCAAGCTAAGAAGAGTTACAGTGTGAGTATGGTGGAGGAATGGGGTGATATTTCAGAGAGCAGGTAAAATTTCAGCTGGATTTTGACATGGAACTTAGAGATTTAGTGAGCAAAGGAAATCTATAGGAATGTTGGTTATAGAAATTCTAAGGTGAGAAGGCCATTGTATTATCTCAGAAAGGACACGAGTTTTGCCTGGCTCAAATAGGAATAACTGGTGTAGGACAAAAAAGGATTTGGGTTGCAGCTTGACTGAAGCAGGCCCCAAATGTCTGGTATTTGTGAGTTTGTTTTAAGGTCCTGAAACTTTGTGAGTGAAAGAATAGATTCCCCACTGATTACAAAAACCTTTTTCCTAAGGTGAGCATAGTGTTTCCATATATTCTAAAAGAGGCTCTGAAGTATTATAGTGCTTATTTATATTTTCCCCTCACAATTACTATATCTCTCCGCTATTCATAAAGTAATTCTAATGAAATCCGGGCATCTCCTAGTTTTTTCCATTGACTAGGATCTTGGTATCTGTCTGTACAATACTGTCTTGCTTTTGCTCAAGTATTTTCAGGAATTGAATGTTCAACCTACACATATACCTTGTCATCAATAGAAAAATGTATATAAAATATGAATACGTTATTAAAAGGAGATGGAGATGTTTGAAATCTTAGTGAGCTGAAGAACAGGGCGGAGGCTTTCAACTGCTTTATTTCCCATTGCTTCACATGATTTGTTAGTCAGCTGTCTGTGTGCTCACTGTCTCTAAAGGACCATTTCATAGGGAAAACCTGGAAAATCTGGGCAACTGTAGTAGTAGAAGAAAATACAAGCCTGCAGCTTGATAATGTAAGCAAAGGAAATTGAGAGTAACTAAAAGAGAGTCTAGAGTTCATATTAAAAAATACTAACCCTCAAAAAGATTGGTATTTTTGTTTTTTCTGTGTTTGTTTTCATGTCTGGAACAATATTTCAGTTATGTGATTTTGAATCCTAGAATGAAATACAAAAGCAGAGAATTTTAAAGCCACTAACAAGATTATTTGAATTGAGGACTTGGCTTTAAAAGGAAAGGAGAAAGAGCTAAAAGTATTTCTCTTGGCTGAGAGACAGTGAAGGAGAGACCTAAGTCTATAAACATTTGAGACCTGTAAACAGTTGGAGAGAAAGCTGTACTTGAGATTTACAGCAGGATGCATGCAGAGTAAGATGAGGACAGGATGACTCACGTTTATGGGCTTGGGGGAGTGCTAGCATGTAGTTGGTAGCCTTTCTACAATGCGAGCTTCTTAGAGCAGGGTTCAGATCTCATTGATTCTGTCCTGGCGCTGGCTTATTGTCTGTGCGTGTGAGTTACTAGAATGGAATCTCTGCAAAATATCTGACACTTCACATCATTCTTCAACAAAGACAGAGGTGTGC